GTCAGTGTGTGTGTAAATCATCTCTTGTTGAGCCTCTAGACTATGCTGATATTTGCCAACGTTGAATATACTGATATGTTAATAATGTGTTCCTTAAACTCCAAGTTTGGTGTTACGAATAAACCACAGCCCTTTACTGCGTCAGGGAGCTGCTTCTCTTTCAGGTAGGACTGTCCCTAAAGTCGTTTTCCGCTCATTGATCCCTATTTTGCCGAGAATAAGTTTCAATATCTCCTACCGCAACCAGGCTACATAATTTCCTTATGGAGATGGAGCAAAAACATTGAAGCTACAATCTGTCGTTGTTTTAGATTCAGTTACTTGGAACAATAAGTATTACGTAGCCCGGGATATGGTTGTGTGTCAGTTGTTGACTTATATATAGAATTGAACTGGTGTATCATTTTTTCTTTATCACATTTTATATAAACTTCTTATATTTTCTGAAATGTTTAATGCTTTGCAACAACTATCATCAAACTGTTATTTTTTTAAATTTAACTGCAATTAAAATTTTTACAATTTACTAAATTAGCAAAAGTTTAGAACAGAATTAATACAGAAAAAAAAATAGTTATTCTCGGACTAAAAACGTGATTCAGGTTTCCTTGTTCAGTGCTAAAGGGAATATATATATACTAATTCTCGAAAATAAGAGCACTCATCCAGGATTAAAAAAATATCATGGAATTAAAAATCGCTTGTCAGTTGATAAACAGATATCATAAAATCTTAACCCATTGTTCCAGAGAATTAAGATTAGTCCTGGAATCTCAAACAGTTATCATGTAAACAGAAATTAAAAATTCCAAGAACTTCCCTCCAGTATTGAATGAGGATCCTGGAATCCAGAAAATTACCACTCCAGGGGGTTACATAGGAATATCACGTGACCAAGGGGGGGGGGGGGGATATTAGCACCACCATACCTGCAGAAACAACCCCCTCCCCTCCCCCCCCCCCAGCCTCTCCAACATTCCAGGGGTAACAATTGGGCCAGGTGTGGCCTCGAATTTGGCCCCCAATTACGAGCGGCGCGATAACTCCAATTACTTACGAATAAAACTCCAATTAAGCACGCAACGGCATCTGACAAGTAGCGACCTGCCAGCCAATCACGTTTCATGTCTCTGTGCTTATGGAACTGTCAGCCAATCAAGACGTTCGTCTCATTATTAGGGTGATGTAGAGAGCCAATCACACGACGTGTAGCGGTATTTACGTCATACGAACAACCAATCTAGTGTATCGTTTAGTACATGGTCGGCAAGGTCAATCCAGGGCACCGATTACTTTACGGGCTTGATCAGCCAATCACGTTAGGGCCTTAGCTCATCACGTCATCCTGCCAGCCACTCATGTTATGAGTTGGGTTCACTATGTCACTCAGTCAACCACTTAAGTATCAAATTCAGTTCACAATTACCCGGAAAACCAGTCACGCTATTGGCTAGGTTAATTGCCAGTTCATACTTTTTTTTTAATTTGTTAAGTTAATCATATCAATTCATGTCACTTATGACCAATCAGATTGCAATGCAAGCAAATGATCTTAAAGCAGTGGTTTCCAAACGGTGGATCACGACCCACAGGGGGGGGGGGGGGTATGACCCCAATCTAAAGGTGGGGGGGGGGTGGAAATCCGAATTCTGAGTACTAGGATATCTCAACCATCGAGGAATTAGTTTGTGATGAGCATCCTGGTGTTCGGCCAATTATTTAACACATTTTTTAAAATCACATATTACCCATTTGAGCAATCAGGTCACGCGCTGACGGCCCTCGTTGATCAACTGGCCAATCAGATCACACATTCAAACAGCCAGTGAAACCACAGGGGGAAACAGAGCTGGATATTTAGGCTTCCACCACTCTCCCTCCCTCCCTCAGATGCCTGGAATTCACCTTCACCTACGGAATGACTTTCTAGTGTTCAATGATCTATGTTCCTTACACAATGGCAACAATTATACTAATGCACCAAATCGATATATTAGCAAAACCATTCCTGGAAAAAAATATAGAATTATACTTTACCAAAAATATTGATACGAAGTATTTAGAGTTGTTAAATAAACAAATCAAATTTATAAATAAAGTAATAACAATAATAACAAATAATGATAACAATAATAATAATAATTATAATAGTCAAACATATGTCAACATCCGCTTTGTCAGTAGTGTTAATTATCGCGCGGGAGACAGACAGGTGCCGTGATCTCTCACTAGGGGGGGGGGGGGGGGTAAATTACACCATGTTGGGAGGGATCCTCGCCCCCCCCCCGTCCCTGGTTACATGCGCCTCGCCAGCGATTAATTTTTTTTTTTTTTTTTTTTTGGGGGGGGGGGTTCGAGCCCTGGCCACGAATCTCTCTCACTCCAGCCATTCATTCTGTCCTCCATCCACGTTCGTGTTTAACACATTTTTCTATTTCTCACAATTGCTCTCTCTGTCTCCCCTCACTCTTTAACTCCCCTCCCCAGCGCCTCTCTCCTGCTCCCCTTTCTCCCCTCCCCAGCGCCCCTGCTCCCCTCTCCCCTCCCCAGCGCCCCTCACCTGCTCCCCGATCTCCCCTCCCCAGCGCCCCTCTCCTGCTCCCCTCTCTCCCCTCCCCAGCGCCCCTCTCCTGCTCCCCAGCGCCCCTCTCCTGCTCCCGTCTCTCCCCTCCCCAGCGCCCCTCTCTCCCCTCCCCAGCGCCCCTCTCCTGCTCCCCTCTCTCCCCTTCCCAGCGCTACCTCTCCTGCTCCCCTCTCTCCCCTCCCCAGCGCCCCCCTCCTGCTCCCCTCTCTCCCCTCCCCAGCGCCCCTCTCTCCCCTCCCCAGCGCCCCTCTCCTGCTCCCTTCTCTCCCCTCCCCAGCGCCCCTCTCCTGCTCCCCTCTCTCCCCTCCCCAGCGCCCCTCTCCTGCTCCCCTCTCTCCCCTCCCCAGCGCCCCTCTTCTGCTCCCCTCTCTCCCCTCCTTAGCGCCTTCTCCTGCTCCCCTCTCTCCCCTCCCCAGCGCCCCCCTCCTGCTCCCCTCTCTCCCCTCGCAGCACACTTGCCAAATTAGGGTTTCATCGCTGTTTGGTCGAGGTTTAAATGCCCAAGAGACTCGCCCCCCCTCCCCCCCCGGGAGCTTGAGGCGCACATCACTGTGATGTTAACTTTGTTATCAACTTGATGACTAACTTTATGATAATCTTGGTGGCAACTTTGACGAGGATTTTGAAGGAAAACTTGATGGCAACTGATGACAACCTTGCTGTTGTTGTGTGTGTATTCACCTACATGTAGCCATGTAGACGATTTCAGGGTTGAGTTTAAGCTCTCTGGCCCCGCCTTTCCAGTCTTGCGTCAGTTAATAATATTCCTTCGTTCCTCAGGTTTGTCGTCTAATTCCGTTTGAAGTTGATTATTAAGTTCGCCTCGGCGACCTCTCCCGCGTGTAGTGGAACCCGCGGACCATGATATGCTGAAGGTTACACAGCCTGTAGTCCACCCAGACCCACTGTATAGCGAGCTGGGTCCAGGCATGGGCGGGGGGGTTTATGGGGTATTCATGCCCGTGCCACCTCCTGGGTGGCTTAATCTTTATCAATCAATCAATCGGCATGGAGGTGGTAGCCAGGTACACCGCGTCTGGGCTGGCCCAGGAGCTGAGGTGGTTCCATCACCCACTTCTTTCCAAAGCTTTTCTTATACTGAATATTATTACGCCTCTCATGCTTGGTGAGATAATGTCCCCTCAGCCTCTCGTGTACCTCAGGCCCCTTAGTTCTGGCTCAGGTCTGGCTGCTATCTACCTATATATAGGGATATGTGTGTGGGAATATCCAAAACAAAATACAGTATGTGGGAATTTTGATTCCCACATATTTTGTAGTTAGTGTTTCAGTTTTTTTTTCTACCACAGACGTGGCCACACATTTACAATGCTAACCAGCATATATACATTTTCTTCTGTCCTCCATGGACAGGGTTAGAGAAATGTTAAACATATAGTTCAAGGGTTTATTGAACACTCAACCACAGAAGGTGATTCAGTGCTTTTAAAATGCTAAGCTAACCTACATTTCAGTGAACTGTCTCTCGTTCAGCCTATAGAGTCCCACCGGGTTAACCCCTAACCTTCCCTGCTCCTGTCCTCAATAATTTGCATTTGTCCAGGTTGAAGTCTTCCAGCCATCATTCCGACCATCCGCCTGAATCCAGGTCTGCAGGTTTTCTCCCGTTGCAAACTTCGTTCTGGTTTACCTAAGCAAATTTGTTTCATCCGCCCAGCGGTTCATCCTGAAGCTTTGTTTATTCACTCCCATGTATTTACTATTTTCTTCTACAGTATCGAACTATTAGCTCTTGGGCTCCGCCTCTCTAACCGTCGGTAGTCTAATGAACTGACTCCCAACCTAATTTTCTCGGCCATATTTATTAAATATCTCTCACACACACACACACACATCCCAAGCTGTTCGACTCCTAGGTACCTATTTACTACGTGATGAACAGCTGGATCAGGTGAAAGAATTCTTGTCATTACTTTTTTTGCCTCGGCCGGAAATTAGGCCGGAGCCCTTTGGACTACGACTCCTGAGTGCTGCACGCTCGGCCGCGAGTGTTCGTGTGTGTGTGCGTCTCAATAGCAAGTATCGCAGCGAAACAAGCGAACACTAACAATGAATCCGGCGCCTGGTACTCCACCTGATGAAGTATCTCTTAAGATACTTAATCAGTACGATACTTAATACTTAAGTAGTACTACTTTGTTTACTACTAATCTAGCCATTCACGACCAAGTAATATGTTTATCTCACTTTTTTAACACATTTCATTTTCCCTCCATCTCCCCTCCTCGCCTTTTCACTTTGGTATAATTTATGCTAAATCCTACAGAGAATTAAACTAAGTTACCCCTCTAAGCCTTACCCATAATTACCATAATCGGTTTAGGTTAATAATAGTCTATCAACACAAGCCCGTTTTCAGTTTACATAGCGGGGAGGCATCAGTCAAGGAGAATAA